GCTGAAGATTAACAGTAGTATTAGGTGCATGAGGTAAGGAATGTCCTCGAGGGGCCAGCAGATCTCCTGGGTCTGGGTATCCACTGGGCATGAGCCAGAGTCTGAGGGCAGCATGTGTTCCCCAGGGCCAGGGGGAATCACGAAGGAAGCATGTGGCTGCATGGGCCACAGAAAACTTCTTCAAAAATGGAGCCCACCTTTTCTATTGAATTCCAAGGTGGTTCATAGTAAGACATGAAAGATCTTACCATGGTGGTTGACTAAGTGGAACTTGGAGCATATTCATAAAAGCAGGAAGAAGAAAACAGTGTAGTGGAGACTGAAGTGGTTCCCTCCAAATGATGCATTTTTATTCAGTAAAAGCCTGTGTAACCCTGTGGTTCTGCAGGACTACTGTTTTCTGTCTCCTAATGGTTTAACATTACTTTAAGAAATCTTCCTTTCACCATACTAGACTGTGTGAAGAATAAGCAATGCTCCAATGAATTTGGGGCTAGGTAAGGAGCCAGTCTTGATCACTTAAGACTCAGTGAAGGGAAACAAGAGGGAATTTTTCCATCTACCACAAGCACTGCTGAAGATGCACTTAAAATTAAATCCAAAAAAGGAACAAAAGGACTTGTGAATACTCATGTATCCTCGTGGCCCCATTCCTTAAAAGGAGGTACACCCATCATGCTTTTCAGGAGGATGTTTTTAGAGACTTTAATGACAGGTATAAAAAAAGCCCAACCAATATTCCTTTTCCTGAAATACATTGTTGTTCATGTATGTGTGTGCATGTGTACTTGTGTGTCCGTGTGTCCTGGTTTGTGATTATTTCTGATGGTTACTTCCTTTCAGGTAGTTGTTCTTTTTAATACATGGGCATGGTTTCTGTATAAAAATCAGTACTTTCTGAGAACTGACAGGAGCCCATCTCCCACAGAATACTGGGGTTTCTCCTGGGACAGGCAGGTGTGATCCTTTCCAATGAGATACTGTGTCAGTGCCATAATAGCCGTGCACTTTGCCAAAGCTGATAAGTGATTTCATTTGTCACTTTGCCCGCCATGGGCCCGGCTGGAGTTCTGCCATTGTACCAAGTCTGTGTGCCTGTTATTTTGTTACTGGTGATATTAGCTTCAAAAGGTCAAGCGATAAAATGTGAAAGCAGCCTGTCCAGAAGCCCAAAAGTTCCTTTTCCTCTGCCAGAAGCACTGCCCAGGATTGTCAAAAAAAATCCTAGTATTTTTCAACAAGGGTGAAATTAGTTATATCCACTTAAGAGTCAACATATTTTTGTGTCAGAATTCATATAAGTTGTACCTAAGTGGGAGCTAGAAGAGCCTTTCTGATTCCTGTGCTTGCTTTCTGCTCTCTGAAGAAGTGATGATCTGAAGGAGAGAAAGAAAGGGAGCCAGAAGAAGTTAGATGGGGGAGAAATGCTCTCATCAGGGCTCCAGAAAGAGGAGCTAGAAGATCGCTGCTCTCACTGTGTGCATTTGAACCTCCCGTCTGCAATCCTGAGTTAGTGACTTTAACTTTCTGCTCCTCAGCTTCTCATCTCTAACATGGAATCCCTCAGGTCTGCCTTTAATTGACTATGTTCCTGGTGTGACCAAAATGCATGGTGAATCTTTAAATACAAATGAAAGCAACTTATTTCAGTAAAAGACACATTGCCATCTATTCCCCTTAAAATCCTATCCGTCCTACTTTGAAAAACCTTTCCCCTCACTCTTCCCACTCCTCAAAGCAGTTCTAGAAGTCCTCTTTTACGAGTCATTTTATAAACTATGCTCAAAAATATGATGCATAGTGTGACTGTCCTCCAAAGAAAGGCAGGCTTAGAAAGACAGGAGTGTGTCCTTATCTACTGGATCGAGCACTGTGTGACTTCAGGCTCCTCCTAAGTCAAAGTGATCATGAAAGGTTAATGTTTTTAGTTGATTCAAGGGCACAGAGGCAGCCATCACAGGGTAACTAAAGACATTCATGAATGTCCTTGTAGAACTGCTTCAGAAAGTGCCAGGAACAATGGAATAATTATGCTCAAAGCAAGGGAGAGTATTTTGAAAGGGATGAGCAGTAGTATATTTTACTGTAATATATTTTAAAATTCACAGTATCTGTTCACCCCTCCTACAACCATTAATAAAATTAGAAGAGACCAAGTTCATGTAAGCCTGTAGAATGCTAATGCCAATCTTTTCAAAATCTTTTGGTGAGGAAGTGGTGATACATGACCGTTAGTTCAAATTTGTCCTACTGTCTATTTCTGTAAATAAAGTTTTATTGGAATAGAGCCACAGGTCAAAATGTGTAAGGGTTATAGCAACCATTCATATCCTTGGTGCAATATGCAAGTTCTCGCTTTTGACTTTCATAGTTTGACAGAGATTATTTTCATAGTGAAAGACTGGGAAAGTGTCATTTTGGTAATGGTATCCACCATCTTGGTATGAAAATACTCAAAATGGGCTCTACATTTAAGAATATATAAAACAAATAGTATTAACACTTTCGCAAGCATTGTTTCTTTACATGTTGTTTACATAATTATGTTATTTCATGTTCTATCATATTTCATAAACTGGTTGATGTTGTGGATTATTATGATTGCATTCAACATGTAAGAAAAAAGTGAATGAAATAGATGAAGGGAAACAATAGAATATGAAGTGCCATTTAAGTTTCTTAAATGCTGCAATTTCTTTAGAACAGGAGATGATTTCTTTGTGGTACTGATGGTTGAATCCAGGACCCTCACACTGGGCTATATCTGCAGCCTCTTTCATTTTTGGAGACAGGGTATTTCTAAGTTGCCTGGCATGAGCTACGATCCCGCTGCCTCAGCCTTCCAGAGTAATAGAATTTCAGGTGTAAACCCAGGTAGGAGATGATTTTCAGGAGTTGGGCGTAGGATATCTGGAAAATCCCCGTGACTATTGATTTTCAGCAAAGATATTCACGGTGCATCCCTGGGAATAGGAATGATTGTTATCATCACAAATTTTAGCTTTTCTTATGTTTTGAACTGATGATTCACTTGTGAACTAGCTTCCCTCTCCTAAAGGTCTGTAGCTCCCTCTTGTATATTAATCATTGAATCCTACAACAAAGCAGGAGGGATTGCTTTAGTCTTCTGTTTTACACTTGTTACAGAACCCCCTCAATTTTGCAGGTCAACATTTTGATCTTGTTATGACTTAGCCATTATGACTGGCAGGGTTTGAGCCTGAAAGTTAAATACCACCTTACAAGTCAAAGGCCACATTTACAAGGATCCTGTCATGCACTAATCATATTGTAATGAGAACTTACTGTGTGCTAGGTACTTTTCTGGAATCTCAATATACATAAGTGAAATAAACACAAAAATTATACCCCTCACAGAATTTCTATTTTTCAGAAGTGGAAGCAGCCAGAAAATAAAGTATAGCTGCTTCTCAGTTTCCCTGCAGGAATACTTTTAGGACCCCAATGATACCAAATCCAAGGATACTCAATACTCTTTTGTGTGTTCATGTAACTCATAATCCTCCAATATATTTCCTGTTGTCCCTTAATCACCTGTGGTGCCTAACACAATGGAAAAAATGTAAATGGTTGTTGTCTTGTCTTGCAAATGTCTGCTGTATTCTTTTCTATTTCCACCTATATTCCCTCTGTTTCCTCAGCATCTTATGATATTGCACAGGGCCATGCTCCTAGACCTCCATTAACATGAGTCCAAAGCAGACTTTTTTCTTCATAAAGCATTCAGCCTTGGAGATTTTAGTGCAGTAGCAGAGAGTAGAGAAAGGAAAAACATGTGAGAGGAAAGTTCATGTATAACTTTCAATTTGGAGGCCTGAGCAACTGAAGGAGGAATTTGCACTTCCTGAGAGGAGGGTGTTTATTTACAGAGGGTTGTGACTGTAAGCGGAGGTGGCAGGGTCAAGATTTTGCTAATGGCATTTTGATTTTCTAGAACCTCCAAGTGGAGCTGGATGGAAGACATTTGAGATATGGTCAAATGGGGGACATTTTTCAAAGACAAGAAAATGTTTAGCAGTGTCAATATTGGTGATCCAAGAGGACTCATTAGATATACATTCCTGGGCTTCACTTGCATGAAATCAGCAGAACTTATTCTACAACATGGGCACCTCTAGAAGGTTCTTGATGTGGATTGCTGAAGAACAGTTTGATTAGCAGCTGTGCTAATCAGGTTATGCTCAGCTTTAGATTTCCTTGTGGGCTAACCTTTTATTATTTTTAATAATGAAATAAATAACCTAGTCTCCAGGCATGACCGTTCACGGAGAAAAACAAGAGACTTTTCAGCATGATTTATGGTGCCATTATTCCAAAAGAGCATGGAGATTTGCAGGATATTTCCAACACCTAATCTGATTCTTAACAGCTAAAAAGTTTGGATTTCTGAGGCAAATCAGGAACGAAAAACAAAAATCTCTCCCAAATAGATGTTAGTCAGAAGTCAGCCAATTCGTAACATGCATAAAAGTGTGTAAAAGAGCATTTTTATTTTACTTGTTCTTTGGATTCTTTTTGCTCATCTGCCTTTGTTATTTTTACCTCATACAAGGGTCAAAAGCTACATGGCCACTAGACAGAAAAGAATTGCTTGTGACGCCTCAATTTTATTTCCATACAGTTCTCAAAGGTGATCCTACTTCACTTACCTTATTTAATGCTAACAATTTTTGTGTCTTAGAGAAATGTATCAACTCCAAGCCAATGAAAATTTGGTTGGGCTGGGGAGGTGTGGGAATGCTAAAGGATTTTTCTATATTAAAAAATTCGGATGAAACGAATTCATCTTGTTGTTTTGATGACTGTATTTTATTTGTAGGCTTAGTCTGGGGAATTTTTTAGAGTTTATTTTCATCTGTTTGGGACTAGGAAGAAAGTAGTGCTTCCTGCATGTCCCACAGTGTTGCTGCACAGGCAGTGGTCATTTGTTGTCGTTGTTGGTAGCTGGTTCAGATGTTTCTTTTGCCCTGGGCTTTCAGATCCATCCGCACCGCCAGCCCCAGCCAACCTTCGTCTTGCGAACTCCACCATCAACAGTGACGGGAGTGTGACGGTGACCATTGTTTGGGATTTCCCCAAGGAGCCAGACATCCCTGTGCATCACTACAAAGTGTTCTGGAGCTGGCCGGTCAGCAGCAAGTCACTTGTCCCCACGAAAAAGAAGCGGAGAAAGACCACTGATGGGGTAAGTAGGCGCCAAAGGGAAGCGTTGCCTGTCTTTGGAGGGTACCCGCGCTGAAGGCATTTGGCCTGATCCGTGACCTCTGCTGAGCTCAGGATGGATAACTATGGAACGCTGGTCTCTCAGTCTTTCTCTCTTTGGCATCCAGGCCACAAGTTCAAAGGTTTTGCTTTGCCAAATGCTCTTCCAACCTTGTGTTCCCTGCCCCAAGCAAAGGGGCTGGTGTAGCAAGCACGGCAACCTCTGAAACTGAGCCGAAATACGTCTTTTCTAAGTTGATCACCTCGGGGTGATCAGCTAGGGCTGTGGAAAGATGACTGATACACACAGACCAACTCATTTCTCATGCATATTTCAGGCAGAAGCAATTGAAATGAATCCCTAGACCTATTCTTCCCCAAATGGCAGCCCCAACTTTGACTCCAGAGATCAAAGGAACACTTGAAATGATCTCCATTTTAACTCTGTAGACAGAGAAAACGAGATAACGTGAAGTGTCCTTTATTTTGGGGGTTATTTTCCTTAAAAAGAAACTTTTAAGTGCCATTTTCAAGGCTTTTCAGTTTCTATCTGTGATCTAATCAGTGGGAAGAAAGCTTAGAAAATGTGGTTCTATGATGTCGCATCCACCATTGTGATGTCACAATTGGCAATTGTGATAGCATGAGATAATTTCAATGTCATGATGAGAATTGTGAGGTTTTAATTGTGAATTGTGATGTCACATTGGGGGTACAATAGGGCATTATAATGTCACCATAGGACATGGTAATGTCACAGCAGGAATAGGAAAAGAAAGGAAGGAAAAGGAAAGAAATATCAAACTAGCATCCAGTTTTGTGTGTGTGTGTAAATCAAGTATTAAAAGAAATAAATTTTAAAAATTACAATTCTTCCAATATTCCAATTATAATTTTGTGATGCTATAGTGGATGATTGTGGTGTCATGATGGGATATTTGATATCACAGTTGGGAATTTTGAAGTCACAGTGGGACAAAGTGTCAGCATAAAGGAACAACATGGGGTCATAATGGGGGCATTGTGAGATCATAATGAGTGCAATGTAAGATCACAATAGGTTAGTGTGAGGTAACAGTGAAAATTATGATGTCATGATGGGTTACTGTGGCATCATGATAGGACACTGTGTTGTCACAGTGGAGCATTGTCATGTCACAATGATACATCAAATGTTATGTCATAAATAATGTGATGTCACAAAATTTTACCATGATGTCTAATGGATGATTGTGGTGTTATGACAGGGAATTGCAAGGTCATAGCAGAACTGTGATGTCATGATGAGGTGTTGGGATATCACAATAGGACGTGTGAAGTCACAAGAAATCTTGACTATATCACAATGGGATATTATGATGGTACAGGTGGTATAGTGATGTCATAATGTGTCACTGCACTGTCACAATGAGGAATTGTGGTATTATAAATGTTGATCATGGTGCTATAAAGAGGGAAATGTGAGGTTGAAATAGAGGAATTGTGGGGTCACACTGGAAATGATGATGTCACAATGGGCTATGCTGGTGTCACAACAGGGCACCTTGAGGTTGCACTGGAGCATTATCCAGTGAAAAGCGAGCCTTGTGTTGCTATAATTGGGGACTGTGATGTCATACTTGGCACTTGTGATGTCACAGTGAGCAGTTGTGATATCACAAAGGAAAAATGTGTCATGACAGAGAATTGTGTGGTCATAATGGGGAATTGAGATGTAATGATGGGGGCATCATGATGTCAAAATAGGACAGGATGGTGTCACAATGGGATATTATAATGCCATAATGTGGAACTGTGATGTTATAACATGCCACTGTGATATCACTATGGGGAATTGTGTTGCCATAAAAGTAAATGCTATAATTGAGGCAAAATGAGGTCATAATGTGAGAGTTGCTTTGTCATAATGGGGAATTGACATGTTCCAACTGGGCATCATGAGGTCACTATATGGCATTATAGTACAACAATACAATATTGTGATACCACATTTGGGCACTGTGATGTCATAATGGGTTCTGGTGGTGTCACAGTGGGCAATTGTGATGTCACAAAGGGAAGTTGTAATGTCTTAATGAGAGTTGTAAGGTCACAATAGAGCATGTGAGCTCACAATAGGGCATTATGATGTCACAAAGGCATAGCATGATGCCATTTTGGCATCACCATTGTGATGTAACAAAGGAAAATTTGGAAGTCATGAGAATTGCAAGGTCTTAATGGTGAAATATGTCATGTTGGGAGTATGTGAGGTCACAATAGGGCATTATGATGTCACAATAGGACATGATAATGTCACAACAAGAATAGGAAGGAGAGGGAAGGGAAGGGAAGGGAAGGGAAAGGAGGGGAAGGAAAGGAAAGGAAAGGAAAGGAAAGGAAAGGAAAGGAAAGGAAAGGAAAGGAAAGGAATATCAAACTGGCATCCAGTTTTGTGTGTGTGTGAACCTAGTATTAAAAGAAATGAATAAAAAAATTACAGTTCTTCCAGTATCTTGAGACTGGAAAAGAATTCTGAAATGGCTAAAAAAGCAAGTGCTATATTCAAGTGAACACATAGGAATATGCTAGTGGAAACAAATTGAAACATGGATCTCATTACTCTAAATCCAGTACTTTTTCTATGTGTGAAGCTAAGTAGGGTGCCTTTGAACATCATCTAATTATAATTAAGGTAAAATTAGGTTTTGATGGGGTTCTAATGTTCAAAATAGAAATTATGAGCTAATGATGTGGATTTATGAAGTCAGAATAGGGAAGATTAAGGTCCTAATGAGGGCATTCTGCTGGCACAGCAGAGAATTGTCATGTCATAATGGGCACTGTTATGCTGTCATGGCGACCTTTGTCTCATTGTTGAGACAGAACACTTGATGTCCAAAATGAAGGAAAGAAAGGTTTATTTAAATTACAGTTTTTGAATGTTTCAGTCTATGCTCAACTGGCTCCAAGGCAGGGTTGTAATGCTGTGGGGCAGCCATTCATGAAGACCACAAGTGACAAGAGCAAAAAGGCAAAAGTGGAAGGGAGGCATGTCTCCTTCCTTCCCTTACATTGTATGCAGGTTACCTGCCCTTGGGCAGGTGCAGCACTCACACCACCAATCCCAGCGCTAGACAATGAACCAATCACTAATGCTAGACTCAGCTGCCTCCATGACTGAAAGAGGCTTTGGAAGAACACTTAAGCAAATCACAACAGATGCCATCATGGAATATTTTGCTATCACAGTGGGGAATTTTGAGGTCACAATGGGGCATAATGACAGCATAAAGGAGCTACATGGTCTCATAATGAGAACATTTGAGATCATAATAAGGGCAATGTGAGATCATAGTGGGGAATTGCAAGGTAACAGTGAAAATTATGTCATGATGGGGTACTGTGGTGTCACAATAGGGCATCATAAAGTCACAGTTGAGCAATGTCTTGTCACAATGATTCACTGTATTGCTATCATTGGGGCACTATGATGTCATAATGGACCCTTGTGGTGTCATAAAGGTTTATTGTGATGTCATAATGGATGATTATGATGTCATAATGGAGAATTGTGAGGTCATAATAGGAAATGGTTATGTCATGATGGGGTATCATGATGATACCATAATAGAATGTGTGAGGTCACAATAGGGAACAATGATGTCACAATGGAATATTGTGATGTCACATGTGGTACAGTGATGTCATAATGTGTCACCATGTTGTCACAATGTGGAATTGAAGCATCATAAAGATTGATTGTGGTGCTCTAATGATGGCAATGTGAACTTGTAATAGAGGAATTGTGGGTTACAGTGGATATTATGATGTCACAATGACCATGCTAGTTCCATATTAGGACACCATGTGATCACAATGGAGCTCTGTCCTATGACAATAGGGTACTGTGATGCTATCATTTTCACATTGTGATGCTACAGGTGGCCCTTGTGATGTCACAGTGGATAGTTGTGATGTCATAAAGGAAAATTGTGATGTCACAATAGAGAACTGTGTGGTCATAATGGGGAACTGAGGTGTCATGATGTTAAAATAGGGAATAGTGATGTCACAGTGGGATACTAAGATGCTATAATGCAGTACTGTGATGTCATAATGGGCCACTGTGATGTTACAATGGGGAATTGTGATGTCATAAGATTTGCTTGCAGTACTATAATGGGGGCAACATGAGGTCATAATGGGGAAATATGAGGTTCTGACTGAGCATTACAAGGTTGCAATACTGCATTATGGCACAACAGTAGAATATTGTGATGTAATATGACAATGGGGCACTGTGATGTCATACTCATTCTTTGTGATGTCACAATAGGTAATTGTGATGTCATGTAGGAAAATTATGATGTCACAGTGGAATTGTGATGTCATGATATGGTCATATGAGGTCACAATTGGTCATTATGATGTCACAAAGGGACAGTATGATGGGGTACTGTGATGCTAATATGGGGCATTGTGATGTAAGAGTGGACAATTGTCATGTCATAAAGAAAGTTGTGGTGTCATAAATGAAAATTGTGATGCCATAATTGGGAATTGTGAGATCACAGTGGGGAATTCTGATGTCACAATGAGAGTATGTGAGATCACCATAGGGCATTATGATGTCACAATAGGGCATGGTGATGTCACAATGGGTTATTATGATGCTGTAATGTGGTACCATGATCATAACAGGTCACTGTGGTGTCACAATGGGGAACTGTGATGTCATAAAGGTTGGTTGTTCTGCTATAATAGAGGCAATGTGAGATCATAATGGGGAAATTGTAGGTCCATAATGGAGAATTGTGATGTTCCAACAGGGCATCTTGAGGTCACAAAATGACATTATGGTCTGACAGTAGACCACTGTGATGTTACAATGTGGCACTGTGATATCACAGTGGGCCATAATAATATCATATTGGGGATTGTGAGGTCATAGTGTCACAATGGAGCACTGCGCTGTCCTAGTGTGTTGTCACAACAGATAATTGCGATGTCAGAAAGGAAAATTTTGATTCACAGTGTAATTGTGATGTCATGATATGGTCACATGAGGTCACAATTCGTAATGGAAATTGTGAGGTCTTATTGGGGAATTGTGACATCATGGTGAAGGCATATAAAGTCAGAAAAGAACATTATGATGTCACAGTGGGATATAATGACTTAACATGACACTGTGATATAATGTGTCACTGTGGTGTCACAATGGACAATTGTGATGTTGTAATTGGGAATTATGAGGTCATACTCAGAAAATATGATGTCACAATGAAGAACTGTGTGGTCATAATGGGGAATTGGGGTGTCATGATGTCAAAATAGGGAATAGTGATGTCACAGTAGGATATTAAGATGTGGGGACATGTGAGGTCACAATAGGGCATTTTGATTTGCAATACTATATTAGAATGTCATAACGTGGTACTATAATGTCATAAAATGCCATTGTGATGTCACAATGGGGAACTGTGATGTCATAAAGATTGATTGTGGTGCTATAATGGGTCTCATGAGGTCATAATGGTAGAATTTCATAATGGGGAATTATGAGGTTCCAACTGGTTATCCTGAGATCACAATAGTGAATTACAGTATCATAATAATGCACTGTGTTGTCATAATTAGGCATTGTGATATCATGTTATGTTATTGTGATGTCCTGATGGGCCATTGTAATATCATAAAGGTTGTTTGTGATGCCATTAATGAGGACCTTCTGAGGTCATAATGGGGGCATTGTGTGTCACAGGAAAGCGTTGTGAGATTACAGTAGGGCAGTATGAGGTCACAATAGGGCATTATGAGTTTATAATAGAGCATACTGCTGTCACAATGGGACATTGTAATTTCATAGTATGTCATTGTGATATCACAGTGGGGTACTGTGATTTCATAATATGTCATTGTGATGTCATAGGGGTATTGTTGGGGTCACAATGGCATTGTTATGTCATAACAGAAAACTCTCTTATCATAATGGATCCTTGTGATGTCATAATTGGTAATTATGAGATCAAACAAGGGTATTGAAATTTGATAATAGGGCATTGGGACAACAAAATGGGGCACTTTGAGATCAGTATGGGCTAATGTCATAGCGCAGGTATAATCACATCATAATGGGGCATTTTTTTGGTCAAGACAATAGGAATTCACAGAGTCACATGGATGAGTGTGATGCTATAGTGGGACATTTTGATGTTATAAAGGATGATTATGATGTCATAATGGGGTCAATATAGAATTATGATGTCAAAGTGAGGCTTTATGATGTCACAATAGGGCAATATGTGGTCACAATGGGGCACTGTCACATCATTATGTTACATTGTGAGGTCACAACAAGCCATTATGAAGTCACAAATGGTACTGTGGAGTTATACTGGGCCACTGTGATATCTTAATGGGTATGACACAGTCCTGATGGAGTATACTGAGGTCATAATGAAGTAAATTTGTGTTCTTGATGGGGGATTATGAGGTCATAAATGGGCATGATCTGGTCATAGTGGGATCAGAATAGGTCATGTTTGGATAATATGTATGAGGTTGCTGTGTATTATTACAATGGCATAATCATGTATCAGGAGAATATACTTGGCTTGTAAGAGATTATAATGGCCTGAAGGCACAGAGGGGTATCATGGTAACCTCGTGGAGTATTGAGGGTATGGTGGGGTATTTTGTGGTCATAACTGGTAATTTTAGGTCATAATGTAATAGTGCAAAGCCATAATATGGCATGATGAGGGTATAATGCAGTCTTGTGTGATCATAACTGGTGTTTGTAGGTCATAATGCAACAGTATGAAGTCATAGTATGGTATTATGAGGGTACAATTGGTATTTGTAGGTCATAATGTGAGAATACAAAGGCATAATGTGATATTATATGGCCATAAGGGAGTATTAATGAGCTTGCAGTGGGGTGTCATGAGCTAATAATGGGGTATACTGAGGTCATAAGGGGGCACATTTTCATCATAAAGGACAATCATGAGGTCATAATGAGGTACACATTATACGTGCCAAATGGAGTAAAATGAGAGCAGAATGGATTTTTGCATGGTAATAATGGGGTACTATGGAGTCATAATGGGGGTTTTAGTTGGAAAGAACCATTAGGTCATGCAGATGTGGGAACTGTCCAATCCTCAGACATTAAAGTCATTCCTGAGCTAGAAGTTGGTGAGCTTTCTGGTCAGTTAGAAGACTTGCCAGGAGGGCGATAGGCACAGAGGTGTCGATGGTCACGGGTCTGAGTACCTCCTTTCTTTTCTAGCTTCAGAACTCTGTGACCCTGGACCGACTTCAGCCAGACTGCGACTACACGGTGGAACTCCAGGCCATCACTTACTGGGGACAGACCCGCCTCAAGAGTACCAAGGTGTCTCTGCACTTCACATCCACGCGCACTGCCAACAGTAAGTGACCCAGCCCTGTTTCTCATGCCCACTGTCAAAGCGAGGCAGGCAGCATGAGAATCAGTTTTGTTTGGCATCACTGCTTGATTCATCTCACAGACAGGGTAGTATGATCGTTGACCCAAGGGACCCTCGATGGAAGGGTTGTCCCATAGGATGAATTACATTTAGTGACACCACAGTCATCTTCGTTTGCATAAGTACATTGCACAGTGTACACACAATGACAAAAACACCTTGAGATGCATTTCTCTGAGTACATCCCATTACCAGGCAGCTGTGGATGGCATAGCCTTTGAACTACAATATACAAAATAATTCTTCCTTTGAATACCTGTTTTTGGATGCTTATCTCTTGGTGGGATATTTTGGTATTTGAAAGCAACCTTACAAGGCACCAGCTGAGGGTTGTGGGTTTAATCACCAGTGGAGGGGAGAGAGAGAGAGAGAGAGAGAGAGAGAGAGAAAGAGAGAAAGAGAGAGAGAGAGAGAGAGAGAAAGAGAGAGAGAGAGAGAGAGAGAGAGAGAGAGAGAGACTTATCATGCCTTAGTTTACCAAATCCACTCTCTTTACATGGACATGATTCCTGCTTCTTGTTCACCCATGTATGTGTTTTAAGGAGCTTGTACACAGTTAATCTGTTATAAACTGTTATTTCCTCTCCTAAAAGTGTGGCTGGCCTGTTTTCTTTGGGATTCCACAGTGGTCACAGCCCCTGCTTGGAAAGCTACTACACTGCTCCATTGAGTCGTTATAAATCGCTCCCACATTGGTTTTCCTTGTTTGTATTTTGTTTACTATGAACTGAGCAAAACAAGAGGGGAGTTTTGTGTGACTCTTGTGGCCGAGCTGGAAAACAGGTTGCTCGCCCTTGGTAGCTTTGTGCAAAGCCGGGACTCACTGGAACTGCTTCACAGAGGTATTCCGTGAGGTTTCAGAGAACTGTGGCACAGGAAGAGGGAGAGAAAGAGGGGGTGTGGGGGACAGGGACCCTTGTCTCTGGTGCCCTGGGGATGTGGCTTCATTACACAGCAGAACCCTGCCGTCAATCTGCCTTTACTCATGGCAGTGAGCCTTGTTCCAAAGAGGACAAGAGCGCTTTTTGTTTGAATTCAGGGGAAAAAAAAAAAAAAAAAAAACAAAAAAACAATTCTCTCGCTCTTCAGAAGTGGATTTACTGATTGCTCATAATTATCTACTACCACCTGGGGCACAGGTAGGTGCCAAATGAGCTGGTTTGTTTGAAACGATGCTTGCAAGAAGCATCAGAGACACAGTGCCCTACCTGTTTAAGAAATTGTCTCTCTAGAGATTAAACCAGTGTGAAGTGACCAATTATGTTTGGGTTGAGATGTAATGTAACATTTACCTAAAGCACTATGGAGAACTATTTTTACATGTTTAGGACCTTCAGTTTATGATGTGGTCATCTATTTATTCATCACATTGAAACTATAGATCTATGAATTGTGACAGTACCATACCTGATGTTGGATATATACATGCTGTGTAATATATGCTAGATGGATGCAGTGTATGCACATCATATTGTGTATATGTCTGATAGTTTTCTGTAGCCAACGTGTACATATCTGGGCACACGCACATATATATATGTATGCAAACAAGAGTGGCTTCAGTATCCATGCAAGATTCGTTCTGGCCCCAACACCTCACAGATACCAAGGTCTTAGGCTTCTCAAGTTCCTGAAATAAAGTGGCATAGTATTTGCCTACATCCTATGCACATCCTCCAGTTTAAGCATTATCTAGTATGACTTAAAATGCCTAAGTGAGTGTTTTTTCTGAGCAGTTTTATGTCATTTGTTTAGAGAAAAATGATGAAAAGTACAGATGCTTTTGTCTCTCTCTCTTTTTTTTTTTTTTTTAAGTCCTGGGGCGCAGACCCAGGGTTGTGCGACCAACGAATCACACCCTTGGCTCTTTTTCACTTTTTACTTTGGGCCAAAGTCTCACTAACTTGTTCAGGCTGGCCTTCAACTTGCAATCCTTTGAGTAGCTAGGATTACAGACATGTACCACCATGCCTGAATTCTCCCCAGTTTGTTTGACCCATGTTGGTTGAATCCATGGAAATTGATTGCATAAATCGGAAGACTTGACTATACATAGAAATAAGCACACACACACACATACATACATACATACATGCATATATGTTTCTTTGTGTACATTTCCCACCAGTGCTATATCTTCACCTTTGCCTGAGAAATGCTCAGACCAAAGGCCCAGAACTTGTTCTTCATTTTCCTTTTTTCATTTTCTCTAGAAATCCAATCCTACTGGAAGCTCTGTGTCTCAAGATTTAAGTTACATGTAGGATCTGTGTGGTTCTCTCCCTTGTTCAAACCATGCCTATCTCTCTCGACTACATTTGAAAGAGTCTCCTAATTTACATTCTTGTTTCTACGATTCCTTAAATTAATTCTGCATTATTCAGATAGCAGAGAAAGTGTTCTTCAGAGAACACTAGCAGCAGAGTACAGATTTCTTCCTTTTCTGAGTTCTACTCTCAAGAAAATCACACACTTTTTTTTTTTTTTTCGTTTTTATCGGTACCAGTGATCGAACTCAGGACTGCCTGCTTGCAAGGCAGGTGCTTATGCTGCTGAGCTAAATCCCCAGCCCCCACACACTTTTCTTTTTCACTTCTCCTTCAACCTCAGCCTTTCCTGCTGTTCTCCTTATTCTTCCCCAGCACCCAAATCTGTTAAATCTCTGCTTCCTCTAAGACCTTTATTTTTCTACTGATGGTGGGGGTTTCATCTATAATGTGATATAAGTATGTGTCTTTAGATTCCCCTGGTCCTTCTGATAAACAACATTCCTTCCTTGTTAGCAACTGGTGTGGGATTGCAGACTCCCATAATTTAATATCTGTGTGTTCCCAGAACCAAGAACAGATTCCAACCTCAACTTGTCATTGTTGAGGTTACATCATCGGGAGTCTGGTCCCTATCCAGCCCACAAACGAAACTTTCACGGAACCCTGGTTATGCACGGCACTTGGAATACTCTCCCGCTCTCCCTGGGGCATTTCCGTGTGGTCTCGCAAGATTGATTGCAACCCTTTTTCTCTCCCTCTAAGCCATATTTTACAGTCTGGTTGTCTTAGTTACTTGTTTCTCATTGCTGAGACAAAATAGCTGCTGCTCAAAATTAGGGAAGGAAAGGTTTATTTCTTACAGTTTTTTAGAGGTTTCAGTCCATACTCAGTTGGCTCCAAGCAGCAGTGTGGATCTTTCACAGCAAGCACGAATCGGGAAGAGAGAGAGACATACACACCTTCTTCCAGCCAGTACATTAAGTATGTGTTTGACCCCTGGGCAGGTGTAGCATTCACACCACCAATCTGACCACTAGACAATGAAGCAATCACAAACACTAGATTCAGCCACATCCATGATTGCATGAGGCTTGAGGGGGCCACTAACATAAACCATGCCACTGGTTCTATACCATCTTCTTTGAATAAGCCAAGCCCCCTATGTGTAAAACATATGTGCCCTTTTACCTGTGTATCTCCTCCATCATTCCTTTTGCAAATGGCAGACTTCTCTGTGATTCTAGGCTGTGCTTTCTCAACTCAGACCCCTGCCAACCCTGAAGCAGAAGCTTTGCTTCAGTTAAAGAGCATGGACCATCTCTCTCTGGCTGTCCACAGCATCCATCAAGCTCTTTGGCATATAATCATGAGACTCTTATGAGATATCATGGGATATTTATGAAACCAAAGGACTCAACTATCCCTTTCCTCGCCTTTTGCTTCAGCTTACTACAATAGATCTGCTTGGTTTCCATTTCAAAAGCACACCTTTCTTCCATTCCAGCCACTTTTCTCCTTCCTATGTTTCTCACAAGACCTTGCACTCTATTTTCCAGTTTCATTTTTTCCACCACCAAAGCTGCTCCTGCTCAATTTTAAACAGGATGGGTGCTTTCCTAATTTTATTGACCCTGGCTCTCATCTTTGAATAACTGTACTCTTCTCTTTGCTACTCCTTGATCCTTTTATGTTGGCCTCTGTCTTGGTTACTTTTCTGTCATTGCTGGGACAAAATACTCAACACCCAAAATTAAAGAAGTAAAAGTTTGTTTAGCTTATAGTTTTTGGAAGTTTCAGTCCATAATCAGCTGGCTGCAAGGAAGGGTGGTGTGGCACGGGGGCAATACTTCAAGGCAGCAGCCAGAGAAAATGGGGAAAAACAAGTCTCTTATCTTTCCTTATATTGTACACAGGCCACCCACCTGCCTCTGGGGCAGGAATAGCCCTCACAAAATCTCCTTGCCCTCCTCTTGCACATCCTCATCCCTAATGATCCTGGCTCCCTGCTGAGTCTCTCAGTTAAACTGCTAAACTGCTCAAATTGACACAATGTATCAATCATAAGATACTCCCAGAGGGTCTGATGCTTCTCATACCTCTTCTTGGATCTACCCGTGGAATGTTCCTTCATTCAACTCATAGATGCTGGGTGCTTTCCAGAATTCCACCTTGTCTGCTAGGATGGTTTCAGTAACTTTCTTGTCATGGATCCTCCCCAGTGACTCATGTGTGTAGCCCTGACTTCTCCACAAATACATACTTTGTCATTGTCTGAATGTCGTACAGGTGCCTCTACCTCAGCATGTTCCGAACTGAACTCCCCCTGCCACTAACAAAACCAGACATTCCCTTGCATTTCTTGAACCTGTAGATGCAAATACTGAAGAGAAACTTGAGAGTCTTTCTTCGCCTACTGCTGTGTACTTTATTTAGTTCATCTCTTGTTCCAGCAGATCTTTAAGCTCTACAAATTTCCGGAATCTTAGAAGAGTATAGTAAGAATTTGTGTCAGTTAGCTTTCCATCACTTTAAGAAGATACCTGAGATAATCAACTCATAAAAAGAAAAGGTTTACTTTCACTTACAGTGTTGGAAGCTCTAGTTCCTGGTCAGTGGGCCTGCTAATTTTCAGTCTGAATAGGCAACACATTA